AATTCAAGATAGCCAATGTGATAAAAAAAGTAAAAACCATTTTATATTAAATAAAAATTATCCTGAGGTTCCTCCTTAATTTTACTGGCAAAGTTGTTCTTCGTCTTCTCTTATCAGATTTATAGGTGGAAAAAAAATGTTATTTCATCTGAAGAATTATTTGAATGTTAATGACCCTTCTCAAAACTATAGAAAATATTCCTTATTTAAAGGAATATTTATATCTTACTAGCAGTAGAGCCCGGCGTTGCCCGGGGATGTAACGGTAAGAGATAGATCAAGTATCGACCATCATAAAGACTGAAAAAACAAAATTGACAAAGATTATTGTTTAAGGTTGACGGACACGCATGTCTTAATTATTTTTTTTTTTTTTTTTTTACGAATTGGTCAAACCCAAACTCAAACAAAACATTGTTTTCAATCGTTATGAGTCTACCGATTGAATAGAATTTTATTATAAACAATTGTCTTGTAAATTGAATTTTTAAAGCATTCTGAATGTAAAAATAAAGAAAAAAGTGTGCAAGACAATAAGAAACACTATCTGCCAAAAAAAAAGTGAAGTTTTGTTGAAATCGGTTGAAAAATGTAGGAAATCCGATCCCATATATAAACGAACACACACACACACAACCTGGGTTTTATAATAAGTATAACTCGATATGAGTTGTCCCCCTTTCATTCTCGCGACAATCGTGTTTTCCAATTGATTTTTCCAATTTTTGGCGCTGTCAGAACCACCGCAAGGTAATTTTACGTAGTCCTGTGAAGTTTAGTTGAAATCGGTTGAAAAATGTAGGAAATCCGATCCAATATATAAACGAACAGACACACAGACACAGAACTTGGGTTTTATAATAAGTATGATCTAGAATTGTGACCCAGTTAGTTCCATTTAGCCTCTTGTTTTTTTTTTATATACAGGTTCTTTGTATATCTTCTTTTAATATTTTTCGGGTAGCAAATGTTGAAACACATTTTTAATACTCAAAATCCTATATCGCCCACCAAAATTTCCAGTTGCCTAACGTTTTCTGTCCAGTTGCTCATCGCCCACCCAACAACTGAAATCGGCCACCTGTGGGCGATATCGCACAGGTTGAGAAACGCTTCACGTCACCATAATCCGTTGTGTTCCTTGCTGTTTGGAATGGTCCATCCAAAACGCGGATTGTTTTATGACCAATACCAAACATTCTGTCGATTAATCTTACCGTTCATGTAAAAGCTTCATCGCTGAACACTACACGGTTTTTTGTTTATCGGTCTTTTTCATCCAAATCTATGTATCCAGACTTTATGGTTACCTCGTATCTAAACTCCGAGTTACGTCGAAATTTCGGTCTAGTTTCGCCTCTTATGTTATGGAGTTGGTTGTCGTGAGTCGTAACTGGAGTGCCATTTAACAAGGCTTTCCAAGAATACACTGTTTTTGAGGTCAGAAGACAAGCAGCAATAAGAAAAATTACTTTATCGACACATCTTGTCAAAAGTGTGCGGAAGTACTTGCAGATGCTCATTATAATTTAAAAGCTGTTAGACATACAGTCGACAGGCTTATGTAAATGGTGTCGCTGTTATGCAACAGTTGTACGAAATCGACAGAAGACTAGAATTCCCCGGTCTGCGCACGAATCGACTTCTTTCCCATGCGCCTTTGTCCTTCAAAGCATGGGCGATCATGAATCTCCACAACTTCCTATCCATTGTAGCCCTTAGTAAATTTTATCTTTTTGCTATCTCTCCTAATCCCTGTTCTGTCAACTATTTATACAAACTCGATAGGCAGGGGCTATGCGCAGCTTTCCTCTGTCCCTCTTGCTTTCAATCTGACTGTGAGTGTCAGATTTTCCAAGCCTTCTTTCCTCATTATGTGTCCTAGAACTTTTAATTGTCTCTTTCTGACTTTTATACTTTTCATTTCCATTTAACCTAAAACTTCGTCGTTACTCATATGCTCAGTCCATAGAATTCTCAGCATCCTTCTGTAGAACCAGATTTCTGTTACCTCATGTTTTTGTGATGAGACTCTTCAGCATTCAATGAAGGACCAATACTACATAGCAGTTCAGTCCTCTTTGTTTCTAACGAAATTCTCATGTTTCTTAATACTTTGCTTAGCTTTTGGAAGGAATCTTTCTCTATACCAATACGCCTTCAGATTTCGATATCGCATTTTTCGTCATCTGTTCAAACACTTCACAGATATTTAAATTTTTGTACTTGTTTGATTTCGGCATCCCCAATGTGTTATTTGCAAGTTGTGTTCTCCCTTTTGCTAACAAACATACATTCTGTTTTTTTGTTTTTTGGGTTTTTTTTTTGCGATTGATGTTTAGTCGTTTCTTCTTGCTTTCCTTCACTACCTTTTCTAGCAATTTTTGGGGTTTTCTTTATGCCTTTGCTATCAACATTATGACATCTGCACTGGAATGTTGTTAATATTGTAGCCACCAATAATGAATCCTGATAGGACTTCTAACTCTCTCAGAATCGCCTCACTGTATAGGTTGAATAAGTCTGGTGAGACGACACATCCTTGTCTGAAAAACCTTTCTATTTTTGTATCTCTAACTCATTTTCTATCTGTATGGAGGCAGTATAGATTCTGGATTATTCTAATATCCTTTCCAAGTATGTCAAGGTTACCTAGCAGTTCTAACAGTCTTTTTTTTATGATGTCCTTTACCAAATTCTTTTGCATAATCTATAAAAGGCACAGATACATATGCTTCTGCGTTTGTATTGCTTTCTGGTATGAACCTGAGTATAAAATATTTTTAGTATAGCCTTTTCTCTCATTTTATTATTTTTTATCACAACTTCCTAAGTCGAATGTTTCCCGGCCGTTAGAATAATTAGGACGAAAAATATGACATCGAAATCCAAAGTCGTATCGGATTAGCGTATTTTCCGGCTTACAAGACACTGCAGCTTGGAAGACGCACTATAATATTGGAAAGAAATTTCTAAGAAAAAAAAAGTAATTCACCTTACGTCCCTCACATACTAGCGCCACATATTCTTACATTAATCACACGCCCGAATTTGTTTATATGGCAATGACATACTAGTTGGTGGTTAGTAAATATACTATACATTTATTAGTGTTTAACAGTGGTTTTATTTTCATAAAAATGAATTAAAAATTTTAAAAATATGCATGTAAAAATATAAAACAATCAAAGAAATTTTATTCATCCCCCAAACCCAAGAACTCGTCACTGTTGGATTCCTATAAACGCTCTAAAATATTATCTGCACGTCTGAAATCCTGGTGGTAACTGATATTTCTACGACATAAGAATTTGAGAAAACCTACACCATCTAGATCAAGAGCAGAAAGGTTCCCACCGCTGCTAGTAAACAGCCATGCATTCCGTCTTCTTACTTTAGTCCTTTCTTCTCTCTTTCCTTGAGTTTGTTATCTGCATATCTTATGTTTGTGACCGCCAGTAATGAATCCCGGTAGGCATTCTAATTCTCTCTGAATTGTCACGCTGTATAGGTTGAATAAGTCCGGTGAGAAGATACATCTTTGCCTTACACTCCTTTCTATTTTTGTATACTTACTAAACTCATTTTTATTCGTATGCAGGTGGTTTTCTTCTTGATTATTCTAATATCCTTTCCAAGTATGTCAAGGTTACCTAAAATTTCCAACAGTTCTTTGTGACTTACTTTATCAAATGCTTTTGCATAATCTATAAATATACAGGTACACATGCTTCTGCATCTATTGCTTTCTGATTCAATTCTGAGTATAAATATTGCATTCCTTGTTCCAGTGTTTTTAACGAACCCGCACTGTTCTTGTCCTAGTTCCGGTCTTAATCACCTCTTATTTAAGCAGCATGATTGCAAATACACTCGGTAAAATAGATAATAAGAAATAAAACAGTTAAGTGTTGATAACAATTTTTTAGTAAAAGTATTTGATATGTCAGCAATATTTGTTCTTTTGGGGATCAGCGTAATTGACTTTTAAACTAGATATTGAAATCCTCGTACTTGATTTTGTTCTCCATTTGTAGCTCATATTTTTGACTGTTCTTGATGCTAACAACCAGATATTTTCTCTTCTTACAATTTGATGTTTAGACCTTTCTTCTTGCTTTCCTTTCCAACCTTCTCCAGAAGTTCTGGCAGTTTCTTTCCTACCACCACCTCTTTCATTCATATCACGCACCTTATCACTTTAACAGTAATCTTCTACATTGAGTGGCTCTCGAGTCTTGTATTACGTGAACTGTAGTAGTAAAAAAGTCTAAATTTCTTTCTTTTGCAAAATACTATGAGCAATACGTTTTTCATTATTACTATTATTTATTTTCTTATTAGAATTTCTTTATCTTTTTATTGTTGCCTTTTTTATCACAAAATTTTATTAGAATTTCTTTAGTCGGACTATTGTCCTCATCTTTGTCGCCATATTTGTCACAACGTTTCGGCCGTTGTACGCTCCGGCCTTCTTCAGGTGGTTCAGGTTCAAGGACACATGGCACAGTGGATAAAGGCGTTGGTTAGATCCAGTGACAGACCCAAAAGAAGGTGAGTTCAATACCTGGTTAAGGCAGTGGAGAACTTTCAGAGGGAAAATTAGCAGGAGATAACTGATAACTGACATCCATCAAACATGGCACGTGGAACTAGAACAGTCTACCCTAGTGATCGAAATAAAGGGTTCAGTTCGAAATTCCAACCACCTGAAGAAGGCCGAAGCGTACAACGGTCGAAACGTTGTAATAAATATGGCGACAAAGATGAGGACAATAGTCCGACTAATGTAAATACTGTACATAATACCTCATCTCAGAAATATAGACAGACCCTAGAATTTCTTTATTTTTTTATTGTTGCCTTTTTTTTCACAAAATTTTATTAGAATTTCTTTATCTTTTTATTGTTGCCTTTTTTTATCACAAAATTTTATTAGAATTTCTTTATCTTTTTATTGTTGCCTTTTTTTTATCACAAAATTTTATTTTTATTTCTAGATGTTCTTAATGACGCTGTCTTTGATGAAGACCATGACGAAATGGTAATAGTAAAAGACATTGAGATGTTTTCTCTTTGTGAACACCATTTGGTACCTTTCATGGGAAAAGTAAGTAATTTTCATTCTGTTCCTCCCGTACGGTCAACAAAGTTAAGCAACATCGACCCTAATCAGTAACCGCTTAAGAATACCAGGTTTTGTATACTTGGATGTGCGGGTGGTGTAATAGATAATGGCTCAGAATTGTCAATTTGAGAGCTGAGTTTCAATTCCAGCTGCATCCGTTATATTCACTCACCCGCAAATACTCTCGTAAAAGGTATGAATCCACCTCTTCTCCCCCACCTATAGGTTAATCAGTAAGATTTGTATTACTACATCATTGTTATCTAAAAAAATTCTTACTATCTAAAAATATTTTCTGACTTTAAATATACTGAATCAATTGCTCTATCGTTCTAGACAATTTTTTCTCGACAGAATTTATTTTACATATTTATAAGTTTACCATCCATCCTTGCTTTGAATATTGCTGCCACATCTGGTCTGGTGCTTCTGCGATATATTTAGAGATTCTTGATAAAATTCGAAGAATCTTCAATGTTATTAGTCTTGCCCTGTTATCTCGCATCCGACAATTTTCCCGACGCTGTAACGTCGCTTCTCCATGACTTTTCGATAAATACATTCATGGTAATTATTCTGATGAACCTTCCTCTATAGTACCTAGAGTTTATGAATTTTAAGCGAAGCGCTAAATTGGCGGCAAGGTCTCATCATTTTACAGTTTAAATGTCTAGATGTAACCGTAAGTTCTATGTTAACAGTTTCTTCTCTCACACCTCTTGCTTGTGGAACTCTCTTCCGGTTTCTTGCTTCCTAGTCAACTTTGATCTTCAAAAATTTAAGTGCAATGTCAATCGTTACCTACTTTCTTCTCAATTCTTCTTCGTTTACTGTTCTAGCTTCTTAATAGCATTTTTTTTCTTTTTCATATTCTCCAACACTCAGTAACCCCTTGTGTCTTAGTGGCTTTATTGCCTTCCTTGGGGTGAAATAATTTTAAAAAATAACCTGCAAAGGGTTGATAAGCCGTAAAAACGAATCAATCAAATCAGATCCCTTATTTTATTTTGACCTCACATTAGAATCGGGGTTGTGTATATCCATTATCAGCAATTTGCTTGATCAACTATAATAATAAAAACATAGTCTCTTAAGTGGCTGAGATAGTTGCGTGTTTTCACCTACTGCCAAAAATTGGTTTTCAAATTCAGACTTCAATATTTCGAATACTGATTTTTAGAACGCAGCGTTCGGCAGGCCCTTTCCTGATGAAACAATATTTTCCTAATTTGACATTATGGGCTGGTGATACGCGTGGGTTGGGTGTAAGATATACGCTGTCAAAGGTCTTTTTTTTTATGTGCTTCGCTTTAAAGTCACGTTTTTTGTTATTCAGAGCAGAACAAATTTAAGGAGCTTTATTAAATGACTTCTAGTAATTAACAGCGAAGTCGTGGATTCAAGTGAAAATAAATGTAACCTTAACTTGTGATTTAATATTTGAAGGTCGTTGTCTGTCATCAGTTGTGTTTTCTAATATATTCGCGTATCTGTTAAAACATTAGATTATCAGGATATATGGCTCAGTTTATTGTTATTTTAAGCGTGATACCACGAACAGGATTTTAGTAAATAATTATATTTTAGCTTTATTTCAAATACCTTACTTTCATTTTATGAGTCAAACTGGAACAAAACTAGAGAATTGTTGAATTATCTAGCTTTGTAAATGTAAAAGATGGACTCTGACGAGAAAAATTTTCTAATATGACACAGTGACCCAACTTTCTTTGCAGTCGTTGCAGCTGGCGGAACTATCAAATAGACCTTATCTGGACACCCGGCATGTATAAATAACGATAGAGTGATACACGACTGCATCGTGAAATATAAGGTTTCTCCTCACAAACCCGTGAAAACAGTTCTGAACTTCATATATGACGAGGACAGAGAAACATTTTGCTGTACTGAAGATAGAGAGAAAAAATATATATAAATAAATTGAATCTGAAACTGTGATTTTATCAACCAAAGAAAGAATTAGATTGTCTTGAAATTGGTATCAGATGTGAGTTATTTATAAAACCTCATTGAAGGATATCATGGCCATCGACTTGACTTTCTCTATCTAATCGTAAAATCGTAACAGAAAGCGGCGTTATCGATCTTTTCTGTTTCTTCCATTCGCATATATTTTGTTCAGAGTTGAAAATCTAAACATCGTCATTCGTCGAGAAAAAAAAGTAGTTCTGTTTCAGTGGGCGTCTCGTGATTTAAAGCAGTTTGGGAAAAAATTACTGCTGAGATGAATTGCGTTCTCATTAGTGTCTACACACTTATAGGCTTTGTAGAAGACAAAAAAAAAACAAAAAAAAACGAAATAACATCAAAATACGCAAAGCCTCTCGCAGTCGCTATTCCCATAAAAAATGTTCTGACCCTAGTTACACCAGATTAGATCTTTAAAGCTAAAACCAGCTATGACACGCACACTTGAAGGAATTATTCTCATTCACTTTGTATTCCATTTATAAAAACGAAG